GCATAGGCAACATGTGAAAAAAAAAAGGCATGCGAAAAACATTGCTTAACAAACCTTAAGACTTAATGAAAAAATTTGATATTTTGCATATGAAAGCATTGTAACGTTTACTGATTATCTGCCAAATTTCATTAACATACGCTTACTAATTAAAAGGTTATAGCATGAAAACTATAACAAACACACAATTGTTACAAGGTCAGTCCCAGGGACTGAGCCCGTGCTGAAAGAGTGAAAGATATACAGACATGGGTCCCATGGAAAAATATGTCCCTCCCCCAGAATAGTCTTTAGAACAATAATGTGTACATGATTAAGTGACTGAACGCAAAGTTAATGTCTGCTTAAATGTTCTGTACTGATTTGATACATTCTGTACACATTTTTTTTGCAACTCTCACAGGCCTCATGGTAAACAGTAAGCCCTGGAGATATCCCTGGCCTATCTACACTCTTAGTAGACCTGTGTATATAAATTGTTTAATTATACTCTTCATTGAATTGTTAAATTCACTTTCACTTGACTGTTTTTGTTTAGAAATTGTATATCCACAAAAGAAAGAGAGAAATCACAGCATTAATAAATAAATAAAACAAAAAGAAAAGAAACTATTTCTTTTTTGGCAATATATCATTCTCTCATGTATTTTAGTACTTCATTTGGTTGAATATCATCGTTTTTGCTACTTTGGAATTAATTTAATATTTTATGTCTGACAAAACAGCTTGATATCTTGTTTAACTTCTTTTGGTACTTACCTTAATTCCAAGCATATTTTTGGTTAACAATGAAGCGAGAATAGAAGCTAAGTTTTCTATTCCATGAAGAACCTAAAAAAGAAACAAAAAATTTAATTTTTATCTCACATTTTGGAAAAAAAGTAATTTTTACTGTTCAAACCTTTCACAAAAATACATAATTATTTTTATCATAGAAATACTGATATTTTAGGTATTTGTGGAGAGTGAAGAGCCAGCAAGAGCTTTAAAAACATGAATTACATTCTAAATTTTCATCAGAAATTATGTAGTAATAATATAATAACCTATAAATATTCAGAAAATTGTCAATATTACTTGTACTGTATTATTCAAACATATAACTAAAACCAAAGCCATATAATCAAAATGAAAGGAATACAAAACCCTGTTACTAGCAACCATGGCTGCCATTTCATGTTAGAACAATTTCACTGTACATAAAAATGTTATTTATATTTTCCCTTACACAGAGCAAATACAAACTTCACACATCATCTATGAATATTCCACATTACATATTTTCCACACTACTGTCCTACTTAGCTAAGTCCATTTCAAATTATTAAGCATATCTTTTACACTCCTGGCCCCATTGAATATGACAATATCTTTTATGAAATAGCCTTACCTTTATGACTTCTTTACATGACTTACTATTTATTTATATACATCACTTCAATATACATAGTCTAATATTATCTATGTATTTGATTTACATTGTTTCTTTGTTTGTTTCTAGATCTATGCAGAAAGCTATACGAGGGCTGTTTGCTCACAGCCATCACTAATTTTGATTGACAGACTAGACAGAAAGCAGCTAAGCTAGAACACCCACTATTAAATTTTGTGCTACAAATGCACTCCGAGATATTTGAACATATTGTGGTTAATTCTCTAAGACTTAACTAATTTTAAATCCAGGTTCTCTCCTGACATAAATCTTCTCTCTCGTCTTTGTGCATATGTTTCAAAAAAGTTATGTATATTTGTGTGCTGTCTTATTCAAATAAAATGTTTATTTATATGAAACACATTTCCGGTCTCTTTCCTCAATTTAATTAAGTCAGGTCAGAGTGGTTTATCTTTTTACCTGCAGGATGTCAACACATCTAAGAATATCATGCATGTAGTTTAGACTCACCTGTAAAACTCCTACAGTGAAGGGAAGCACTAGGTCTCTGTACAGCAAATAATTCTTGTGCAATCCCTTAATGAATGTTTGCTGTGAACTGATCCAAGTTTTAATCTGACCAAGATCTTGTTGTGCTCTGTCATGACTTATTATCTGCTCAGAATCTATGGAAGTTTTCAAACTTTTCAGTTTAGATAGAAGAGACATTATTGTCTCGTTAGCTCCAATAGTTGACAAGTAGTGATGGATCTCACTCATCATTTTCTCAAACTAGATAAATAAAATTAAAAAAAAATATTCGTGTTTTTAAAAGATTTATACATATCGCCCAGACAATAAAGTGTTCGTGATGTGTCTGTTTGTTTATATTGAATAACTGTCATAAAGATATACTGGTTGAAATTAATCATATCTTAATAAATGTCTGAACCTTTGGTTCTACTTTAGGAAAACACTTTCATGTGAATGAATTATATGGCATTTCCTGAAGAGAAACTTTTCCCCATGATTGCTTTATTTGGCTTTTCCTTTAGGGAACTACTGTAAGATAGTAGAAACATTTGTCCTTTTCTCTAGTACAATATGCTCACATAGTTGAAATATTTAGCTTTTTCTATAGAAAATGCTAATACATACATTTTTTGTTTTGTCTTTAGATTAAAAACAAAATTCACATAATTGAGATTAATTTTTCCTTTAGGAAACATTCAACGAGTTGAAATACTTGTTTTTTCCTTGAGGTTCAAGACTAAAAGACTCATATTTGAAGTATTTGGTTTCCCTTTAGACTAGAAAAACATTTTCACATATAGTATTTTAAGATATTTAGCCTTATCTTCAGAAAAGCAATATCTTTATCTGAACTATATGGCTTTTCTTTTCTTAAAAACAAAAAAACCTTTACACAGTTGAACTATTTGGCTTTTGCTTTGAAAAAGTACATAAAGTTTAAACATAGAAAACTAAGTCAAAGAAACAAACATAGTTTTGAAAACCTGAGAAGCAGAAGGTCGAAAGGCATTCTTGCTCTCTAAATCATCAACTTTCTCTTTTAACTGTTGCTGTCTGTTGTTCAGTTGGCAAGTGTGGGGATGCAGATCACATGGATTACGAACTTGCAGCTCTTTTCCAGTTGAATTTTTCGAGATCCAGTTTTGAACTGTCAGACTTATAATAATGTTTTTCAGCTGAAATGAATAATAAATACATTATATCTGCTGGCATTTCTAAAAGTGCTTTATATATGCAAGAGCTTCAGAAGACTTTCAGACTTCATGAAAGTTCATTTTAATTCAATTCTATCTTACCTCTTCCCTAAGATACTGTAATTTCACTTGATTCTTGTGGACAGGATCAACTGATTCCCAAGGTGCCAACAACATTGAAGTCATCAGTCCAACATCAACCCAAGCACATCCAAGTTCCCATGGGGCACTAGCATCTGTATGTACAAATTCCTTCTGATGAAATAAGTGGAATAATTATACTTAAGTACTGAAAAACAAAAAGAACTGTTAGGCTTTGGAAAACACTTGAAAAATATTATGAATAGAAAAATGGTGACTGGCAGAGTCACAGTATTTCAAAAATATTATGAGGTAACCCCTCAAAAAAATAAATAAATAATAATAATAATTGGTCAACAAGAACAGTCCTATTTTCTACAATTAACTAAGATATTTTAAACATTTAACTTCATATTTTTTTAGACAAACTTAATACAAGCACAAAAATCATGGATTGTTGGAATTTTTTTCACAGTAATCATATTAGTTTTCGCACATACTTCAACAAAAATAAAAATATAATTTAAAAACTACTTAGAGCAATTCCAAACAGAGATAAACTATGACCCCAAATTTAATAAAAACATAATTTTTTAAGTGGTGAATAAAATAATCACATCTTCAAACTTAAACAAGCACAAGAGATTTTGTCATAAAATTTAACATCTTTGTATAAAGATGTAACATACAATAAGTAAAGTTCCATGTATGATATTCTGAATTCACTATTCACAAAATGTCTGAGACACCACT